ACTCTTTCCACTGTTAAAAAAGAAAAATTAGTTTGCTGTCATTTCGGTTTGCACTTACAAGAGGACTGTCAGAGTAAGGGTTACTGCAGGTGACTGTACACGACAGCACCTGCTTTAATTGCAGATCTGCACTTGCATAAAAGCTTCACAGAAACATAAGCAAAAGCAGCACCAAGTAAAAGCAACAACAATAATTAACATTCTTTTGGACTTCTCAGGTGTCACCCACTGCTCAGGAAGCCTCCTTATCAAATCAGTAGTGGGTATCCTCTCCAGTCTCATTTCCTAAAGAAATGAGCTTGGACATTTCCACTCACACTGTCACTAACTTTTGAATGTGTCACCAAAGTAAGTAACTTTTAAAAGGGGTGAATGTTTCAGAATCACTGGCATCTAGGTGAAGGAAAGAAACCCAAATTAGTATCTACTCACACAAACCCAATGGAAACCAGACCATTCCCTGTGCAGCTCATGGAACAGCTTCTCATTACAAACTCAGCAACTGTATCTTTTCTGACATAAATTCTGCCTTGCGTTGTGTGTGGATAAAGTTATCTGGTAACATCAATTCACCCAGATGCAATACTGCCGAATCAAGCTGCTTGTGTGACAGCATGCTACAAAACCATGCAATTCACACATGAGCAAATTTTAAAGCAATGGTTCCTATATCCAAAGCCTCACCACTATGAGTCTGTCCGGAAACCTTAAAGCATCTCTGCAAGAATCTCCACTTTAAAGAAAGTGGCCTCACTCTCTTAAAAAAACCCCAACTTTGTTTAGCGCAACAAAGACCCATGATCTTTAATTGACACCCTACCACAAAAAATTAAACACTACAAACCAAATGCATATACTGTCATTTTATATAAAGATACATATTGTCCCTTATAAATATCTTACATCAGCAATACTGCAATATCTTTTCACGTAACTGCAAAATTAAATGTGCATATTACAAAGCTAAATTTCCTCTAAAGTAGTATTTGAAATAGGAAATGAAGTTTAAAAAGTACATAACTATTACTTATATAATTTTCAGTAATCAGAAGTCATTTTACAGTAGGTTGCTGATTCCATGAGCCTCTCACTACATGCAATTGGATAGGCATTTATATATTGATCTGATACAAAAGTGTTCAGGGACACATATTATACAACTAGAAAACTACTATCTCACCCTTGTATTGCTCTCAGCAAGTAACAAGATAGGATTAATTTCATAAATGCCATAATGCTATTATAACTTGTGTAATGATTAACAACTGCACAAGGCTTTGAACTCTTTTTAAAAACTTAATCTATATAAAGCTTTGAAGCTTTACACAGTTAATACTCAGGATGACAGTTTACTGATGACTTTCTCTGTTTCCTTCTAAATAGCAAGACAGCTCTTTTCACCTTCCAGAGTTAATCTCAGATGGAGAGGGTTGAATTCTCACTGGGGAGGGAGTCATGCCCTGAATGCACATAAACACACACAGTTACTATCTTTAGAGCTGTCATTCCAGAACATCACAAGTACTGAATTTTACAACTAGGTGAATTAGTACCCAGGATTTTCTTATAAGAAATTTTAACTCACTCATGCCATTCTCTTAAAGGAGAAACCCACAACATCTTTAACCTTTTATAAAATAAGTGCTTTTTAACCTTCTAAAATCAAAATTAAGCATGTCTAAGAAAATTATTAATTCCATTTTTCCACAAAAGCCAATGTTTCAACACGACTGATTTTCTAAATAAGTGCTTATTTGTGCAGTATATTTCAGCTATGAAATGCAAGGCAATGTGTGCAATACACAAACACTATTGTCAGCAAATGACCGTTTTGCTATGTCACTCACAGCCTGCCAGAGACATAACAGAGTATTTCAGTTTGCTGAAGGTATTGAAAAGCCCTATTCAAATGCCACTCCTCATGATGTCAGTAGGCCTCCCTGAAAACCAGGTACGGAAGGCTCTATACCACTAGTCTCTGGCTTTATAAACAGACATGAAATCGATGTGACGTATGAAACGCAAGCAGTGTTAATACCCGGGACAGACCCAGTGTCAGTACAGAGATGTCAAGTGTGGGCAGGGGAGCGGGGAAGAGGGGCTGCTTTATCACAGCCCCAGATCACATTCTGCGACACGGACGATTCAGGGCCCACGTAGCCATATTAACTATTGCCTCCTCAGCCTCCCTGCGCTAAGCCTGCACCTAAGTAATTGCGTTACAAGCACACAAATTGCCAGCAAAACCAAATGTAATTATTCCAAAGGTGCAGTAGCTACTTGGTAATCAGGAATTAATCTGATGTAAATACAATAAAGATGTTGCTCAGTGTACATGAAATACTTGGAGCACCGGCTAAAAGAAAACATAATACGAACTACTTTCAGTCTTCATTTTCACCTCTGGAAATCTAGAGTTCTTCCACTAGGAGTTTCAGAAGCACTGAAATAAGTTCCGAACTATTTTGTAGTTTAAGAAACACACAGAGAATAAGTCACCAAAACCAACAAATTACTACTTGTTAGAACACAAAAACAGTAACCAAGTGTTTTTGAAAACTTGGTGAGAAATAAATATAAATAACATTCACTTTCTGGGCTGAACCACATTTGCCAAGTTTCCACCCACTCCTGACTTTAGTGCCAAGTTATAAACCCCTATAAAAATAAAGTTTAAGATGAAAAGGCTGCCAGGCTGTTAATCTCTGCAGTGCTACTTGGAATTACAATTACACAGAGACATCACCTGACTTGCTTCCATAGGTGTATTTTCCCCTTATTATCAGTTTCCTTTTTCAATCACATTAGACTATGCAGCCATGCATATACTCCCAATAAACAAACCAGATTCTAGTCACTTCAACCACTTCAATAATAAAAGGTTACCATTAACAGTTACGCTGGATGGAAAAAATGTGCATTACTCAACTCCTCAAGACTCTTTCCTTCTCTAACACATTGCCCATACCAGATTCCCCGTTGTTCTTTGGTAACTATAGATTGGTAGGGTTCTGCAGGGCTGGACAGGAGCAAGCCTGAGACAACCCCAAGATGGAGACTGGCACTGCCCTGGGAGACTGGCCAGCTTGCTGGCAATGCTCTAAGAAAAAAGGGATACAGGAGCCACAAAGCTGCTGTGACGCCAGTGTTCTGCCTCAGATCTTCCTGAGACAGGATTTTTCCATTTGCATCCTCCATTTTCCATGTTCCTACCCATTACAGTCTTTCCCTTATCCTTCCTTTGTTTGCTATTGCTCCACTCAAACTGCAGATACATTTACAGTAGTCCTGTATGAATTGGCTGGTACTTGAATATATTGGAACACAAAGCAGTGAAGACAGAGCAGCAGGACCTTAAACCAGGAAGGATGAGGCTCCATGGACGTGTGCTGTGTACGTTCGAGTACTGCTGATAAACATCCTCTGCTAGCGATGCCTGTGCTAGTTAAACAAAGGCTGGTCCAGGAGGCTGTTACCCACCTCCACCTGTGGTGTAATCACAGCGAAAGACATGGCAGTGCTTCCCTTTTCTCCCTGCACCGCACTGCCTGGTATACGATTCTGCAGCTCTTTGCTTGAAGAGCTCTTTTCTCTTTGCTTGAAGAGCTCTTTTAAACCAAGTACAATGGTACTGCCATATTTCCGAGCCACCCACCCTTCTGAAGCCATACACTAGGTAGGCAGATACAAGGTGTCTGGACAACAGGTACTGTGCTAAGCTCAGCAAGCAGTTCGCGGAGCACTCCAGGATAGCATCTGCCCTTCATTTTCCTATACCCCCCCAACATGTCACTACCTCTACAAGACAGTCAGAAACCAACATAATCCCCAGAATGGGAGCAGCAAATTGTCATATTTCAATGCTCCTTTCTCTCCTTATAATGATTACCACGTGTGTCAATGCATTTCAACTCCATACCGAGTTCGAAACTTCCTGGATACAGCACAAAAGGAATCCAGTGCACCCTTCCCCTTCCTCTTAACTTCTACCCAAATCTTCCTTGCAGAGACAAGCAGCTGACGCAGTCCACAGCACAATAGCTTGGGGTGGTCTGCATGCAACTTTCCATGTGAAACAAAACCAGCTCAAAAGATTTAAAATAAGATTTATTTCTCCACCTTCCCTTCCCCTCACCCTTTATTTTCACTGAGTTGTTAATAGGAACATTCTAACGAAGTCCGTGAAGCATTTAGGGCTTACGAGCAGCACTAAATTGACTGACAGCACTGGAAACCAAATTCCTATGCACAGTAATGGATGGGGCAGGGAGAGCAAGAGCGTAACACGTCTCCCAGCACTGCACTGCACAAAGGACCCGCCAGCACCCATGACCCAGCGAGTCCTGAACTTTTCAGTCCCACAGGCGTATGGGCACTTTGCCCCAGAGTAGGAAGAGACTGGTAAAGAAACGTTTTGTAATAAGTTACTAGCCGGCAGAATTGCCATGCTTCAATTGTGACAGGATGTCACCACCCAGGGCTGTTCTCCAGTGCTTCAGAGTTTGCTTCTTTGTTTTACTTATTATTTAAAACCTGGTGATCATAAAAGCCATTACCAGCAGTGGGCATGGCCAAGCAGGGAGAGCTCTGTGAACTCTAGTGTGCCCTGCACTCAGCCTGAGATAGAAAGGTTCCCACAATTTCTCCTGGCTTAGCACCGTCCTACTCACTGGAGCAAGACCTGAACTTTGGAGCTGTGCTTGGGGCACGAAGCGCTCTCCGGCACAGTACCACCCTCCGCCTCGGAGAGACAGGGCTGCTGCATGACACCGAGAGGGTGCCCTCTTGCTTATGCTACATAATTATGAACTACCACTTTGTAAATAACAGAACGACTCGAGAGCACAGGAGGTGCTTTTAAAGTGGTAATTCTCTATGTTTTCATCTCTAATTAGGATAATTACTTATTTCTTTTAATCACAGCCCACTTAACCACTTCAGTGCAAAGGGCTGGGCTGAGGAGTC